CTCGTCTTGCTAGAGTCTAATGACATCCAAAAGTAATGTGGTTTACCTCTGAGAGAGCTCAATACTTCAAGTTAAGAATACATTTGTTCCTGATCTATGCATATTCACTGAATATGAATCCCTTCTTTCTCCTGCATGGGGCTTATACTACTGTGTAACTCCAATGAGTCCATCTTCTGAGCTAATTTACAACCGTGTGTAACTCTGCTGAACATGATTCTGATCCCATTTATAAACGCAGACAAAAATTATGTCACAATCAGACACATCTGAACCCAAAGCTGCTCTCATTACTTAAGTGGAGTCATCAGACAGATTCTGGGTGTAAACTAGAGCAGAATTTGTCGACTGAACAAAAAATATTGTTAGAAAAGGAATCTTGAGGGCACATTGAGGTCAATGGGGATTTTTGCACTGGACTATGATGGGCTCAGACGGTTATTATAAGTGCAAAGGATCTGCACCTCTTTACATTGAGTCTGAATTTGCTTCCATAGAATGTTTAATTCTAAATGAACGGCATTGAATTCTGACTTAGAAGATAATTTTCAGAACTGTAACAAAGAACCAGATGGGCACTTTGAAAGTCAATCTGGAGTCCTCTTTGTTTCTTTCTTTAGGATATCATTGTTCAATCTGTCTATGTATCTAGCTAGAGTTGTACACATCACTGTAGTATCTTAGGTTACCTCTGTGAGCCATCATCTTCCCCTTCAACTGGAAGAACTAATTACATGTGAGATTACGATCCAACTTTAGCTTGTCACAGACAGGTGACTATAAGGACTATAAGGTGGATAGAAAGCTGGCTAGATCGTCGGGTTCAAAGGGTAGTGATCAATGGCTCCATGTCTAGTTGGCAGCCGGTTTCAAGCGGAGTGCCCCAGGGGTCAGTCCTGGGCCGATTTTCTTCAATATCTTCATTAATGATCTGGAGGATGGCGTGGACTGCACTCTCAGCACATTTGCAGATGACACTTGTCATAACTATAAAGGGAAGGGTAACAGCTTCCTGTGTACAGTACTATAAAATCCCTCCTGGCCAGAGACTCCAAAATCCTTTTACCTGTAAAGGGTTAAGAAGCTCGGGTAACCTGGCTGACACCTGACCCAAAGGACCAATGAGGGGACAAGATACTTTCAAATCTTGGGGGGGGAAGGGTTTTGTTTGCGCTCTTTGTTTTGGGGGTTATTCACTCTTTGGACTGAGAGGGACCAGACATCAATCCAGGTTCTCCACATCTTTCTAAACAAGTTTCTCATATTTCAAACTCGTAAGTAAACAGCCAGGCAAGGCATGTTAGTTTTCCTTTGTTTTCTCAACTTGTAAATGTACCTTTTACTAGAGTGTTTATCTCTGTTTGCTGTACTTTGAACCTGAGGCTAGAGGGGAATCCTCTGAGCTCTTTAAGTTTGATTACCCTGTAAAGTTATTTTCCATCCTGATTTTACAGAGATGATTTTTACCTTTTTCTTTAATTAAAGCCTTCTTTTTAATAACCCGATTGATTTTCCCTTGTTTTTAGATCCAAGGGGGTTGGATCTGTATTCACCAGGAGTTGGTGAGAGGAAGGAGGGGGGATGGTTAATTTCTCCTTGTTTTAAGATCCAAGGGGGTTGGAACTGTATTCACCAGGAGTTGGTGGAAGGAAGGAGGGGGGATGGTTAATTTCTCCTTGTTTTAAGATCCAAGGGATTTGGATCTGTATTCACCAGGGAATTGGTGAAAGGTTTCTCAAGGCTTCCCAGGGAAGGGAATTAGCTTTGAGAATGGTGGCAGCAGACCAGATCTAAGCTCGTAGTTAAGCTTAGAAGTTTTCATGCAGGCCCCCACATTTGTACCCTAAAGTTCAAAGTGGGGAAGCAGCCTTGACAACACTAAACTGGGAGGAGTGGTAGATACGCTGGAGGGTAGGGATAGGATACAGAGGGACCTAGACAAATTAGAGGATTGGGACAAAAGAAACCTGATGAGGTTCAACAAGGACAAGTGCAGAGTCCTGCAATTACGACGGAAGAACCCCGTGCACTGTTACAGACTAGGGACCGAATGTCTAGGAAGCAGTTCTGCAGAAAAGGACCTAGGGGTTACAGTGCATGAGAAGCTGGATATGAGTCAACAGTGTGTCCTTGTTGCCAAGAAGGCTAACGGCATTTTGGGCTGTATAAGTAGGGGCATTACCAGCAGATCGAGGGACGTGATCATTCCCCTCTATTCGACATTGGTGAGGCCTCATCTGGAGTACTGTGTCCAGTTTTGGGCCCCACACTACAAGAAGGATGTGGAAAAATTGGAAAGAGTCCAGCAGAGGGCAACAAAAATGATTAGGGGGCTGGAGCACATGACTTATGAGGAGAGGCTGAGGGAACTGGGATTGTTTAGTCTGCAGAAGAGAAGAATGAGGGGAAATTTGATAGCTGCTTTCAACTACCTGAAAGTGGGTTCCAAAGAGGATGGATGTAGACTGTTCTCAGTGGTACCTGATGACAGAACAAGGAGTAATGGTCTCAAGTTGCAGTGGGAGAGGTTTAGGTTGGATATTAGGAAAAACTTTTTCACTAGGAGGGTGGTGAAGCACTGGAATGGGTTACCTAGGGAGGTGGTGGAATCTCCTTACTTAGAGGTTTTTAAGGTGAGGCTTGACAAAGCCCTGGCTGGGATGATTTAGTTAGGAATTGGTCCTGCTTTGAGCAGGGGGTTGGACTAGATGACCTCCTGAGGTCCCTTCCAACCCTGATATTCTATGATTCTATGATTCTAGGTCCCCAGGAGACTTAATTACTTAGGGGTCATTTCATTCAAGGGATGCTGCACACTTTTTCCAAAAGCATTATATAGAGAAAACACACAGAGCCCAAAAACCAAAAGAAAGACACTCACAGCAATGTCAGCAGCAATGAGAGATACACCTCTCCAAATATTGACTGCCGTGTAGATGCTAACGCACCCACAGAGGTCAGAATTTGTGGCTGGTCCAGTAAGTGTTTCATCCAAACCAGCATACCTTTCAAAATCTGGCCCTAAAAATCTAAAAACCAGATTTTAAAGGTATTTAGGTACCTAAAGATCCAGATAGGCACCTAATGGAATTTTCAAAAGCACTTGGGCAATTAACTGTTACTGAAAGCAATGGAGTTAGATGTCTCAGTGCTTTTGAAAATTGGCATCTTTGGGCACTTAAATATCTTTCAAAATCCTGCATCTAGTGGCCAGATAGTTCCTCGCACACTTTTGAAATGAGATATAGGCTCCTATGTCATTTAGGCATTGCTGAAATTTTTACACTTAGTCTCAATATTGTCTAGTCACATGGAGTTCCACCACTAATTTTACTCCATGTGTGGGGGAAGTGTTTCCTTTTATCAATTCTAAATTTCTTTGAATGCTCCTTGTGATGAAGGAGCTCTGATTTTTCTACTGTGATCTCTCATTATTCTGCAGCTCTGTATCATGTCTCCTTTTACTAGTCTCTCTAGAGGATATTATACAGTATAAAACCCGTCTCCTTGCCCTGTTTTCTTCTTGAGAGAAAACTGAAAAGTAACTGTGCTTATTTTTTAATATATATATATATATATATATCACACCACTGCCACCTCTTCTGGTAGCATTCGGTTAGAAAGATCCTTTTGATTAATGATCTATTTTTATCTTATTTGGTTTTCCCATCTCAAATTATTTGAAAATGTCCAGGGTGCATGTTTTCTGTGAAAACATGGATACATGGATACTATCCTTGCATATGTTGCTGGGAGAAACTGAATGTTTAACGAATATCAAATAGAAAGAGTATAGCACAATCCAGGGCTCAGCTGTTCCAAGGAGTCATAATTAGAGCTGGGCAAAAATTTCCATTCAAATTGTTATCATTGAAAAAGTGGGGTTTTGGCTGCTCATGGAAGGTTTATTTCCAGGAAATAAATAAATGTTTTTCAACTATTTTTCTGAGTAAAAGAAACAAGTTCTGTTGTTTTGTTTTGCGGTGGCAGTGGAGCACAGTATTCACAGTTTGCAGCCTGTCAGATAGCCCTCATTGCACTTTAATGGATCAAATAATTCATTACCAAATTACACATCTTCTAGGAGAGACTGTGCAGCCAGACTGGTCTCTTTTAGATCTCTCACTGGTTAGGGGACGAGTGCCCATCCAAACAGGACTGCAGACGTGACTGCACGTTGCGCTAAATATCACAGCATGTCTGGTTTTCTGTGATCTGAGAGAGCAGCCAGGTGGAAACTACCAAGGGAGAGGGATCAGGAGAATTCTGCTGAATCCTGGTCCTAGAACTCTACCCTCAGGCCATAAAGATGAGATGGAAAGAGATGAAGGGAAAAGACAAAGCGCTGGAGATACCAAGAGTGAGAGAAAATGTATTAATGATAAAGTTAGAATCAGAAAAGGTTTGATAGTTCCATGGATAGAACAGCTGGTCAGCAAATTTAATTTTTTCTGGTGAGCAATTCCAATATTTCAACATTTGTTCGCATTTCAGATTCTCCCCTCCATTACGAGGGTTTAATACCACTCTATAGACACAAAGGGTATGTATAAACTGGAGATGGATGGTGTAGTTTCCAGCTCAAGGAAACATATCCACACTATCTCTGACTGAGCTAATGTGCTAAAAATAGAAATGTAGCCCCACTGGCTCTTGTGGCAGGAGGGGCAAGCTAGCTAAGTATGTACCTAGCATCTTGGTAGCAAATTCAATTAAGTAAAATAAGTACATTTATCTTACTATATGTCACTTCTTTTATGTGATCTTTCTTTCTTTCTTTTTTTCTTTCTTTTATGATACCATCCAACATATCTTCCTACATACATAAACTGTTTATACAACAGGATCAATAGATCCTGCACTCTCCACCTTCTTTTGTTGTTGCTTTTTCTGCATATTTTCAGATGTTACAGCTGCACATTCTCAATGGCTAAAACTAGGGAATGCCTGGCTGCATCTCACTGACTCAAAAGAAAATCAAAATTATGAATAGTGTTTCACTAACTTGAAGCAATCTGAATTTTCTGCAGTGTCTTAAAATCCATACATTTATTGAAAGCTTTCCTCAGGGCCTCCTTTACTTCTTTGTTTCTCAGGCTGTAGATGAGTGGATTGACCATGGGAGTCAGGATGGTGTAAAAGACAGAGAAGAATTTGTTAAAGTCCTTCAGTCTGTTGCTATGTGGAAGCACATACACAATCAGTATCGACCCAAAGAAAATTGTAACCACAATAAGGTGGGAGGAGCAGGTGGAAAATGTCTTCTTCCTCCCAGTGCTGGAAGGGATTCTCAGGATGGAGGTAATGATATAAATATAGGATGTCACGGTTAATAGAAACGGAGGCAGTGAGCATATGCAAGCCACAATGGACGTTAAAAGTCCAGTCAGATGAGTGTCACTGCAGGAGAGTTTCATCATTGGGAAGGAATCACAGAAGAAATGGTCAATTTCATTGGGACCACAGAAGATTAAGTTGGAGATAAAAAATGTTAATATAGTATTAGCCAGAAAGCCACTTACCCAAGATACTGTAGCTAGCTGGAGGCAGAGCCTGCCATTCATGAGGGCTCCATAATGCAGTGGTTTGCGTATCGCTAGGTATCGATCATAAGACATTGCTGCTAGGAGATAACATTCTGCAGCTGCTAAGCATCCAAAGAAATAATATTGTGTGAGACACCCATTGAATGAAAAGGTTCTGTCCCCTGTCAGGAAACTGGCCAACATCCTGGGCAGGATGTTGGAAGTATAGCAGGTCTCCAAGCAGGACAAGTTCCCCAGGAAGAAATACATGGGGATATGAAGGTGCTGATCAGCCACAACTAGCACAACAATGAGGATGTTCCCAGCCATGGTCAAAACATAGATCACTAGAAACAGCAGGAAGAGAAGGGTCTGCAGCTCAGGGAGATCCCCGAACCCCAGGAGGATGAATTCTGTGATGGCTGTTTGGTTTCCCATTTTGGGTTCGTCGTGGGGTTTTTACCTGGGAAAAATAAAAAAAATATTAACACAAAGGAAAACTTTGTTTAGCGGTACAGTAACTCTTCGCTTAACCTTGTAGTTATGTTCCTGAAAAATGCATCTTTAAGCAAAACTATGTTAAGTGAATCCAATTTCCCCATAAAAGTTAATGTAAATAGGGGAAGTTAGGTTCCAGGGAATTTTTTTTCCACCAGACAAAAAACTATATTATATACACACAGTATAAGTTTTAAACAAATAATTTAATACTGTACACAGCAATGTTGATTGTGTAGTTTGGTTGAGATGGTGAAGTTAGAGGGTGGGATATTTCCCAGGGAATGCCTTACTGCTAAATGGGCTGAGCCCTCAAGGGTTAACACATAGTTGTTAATGTAGCCTCACACTCTACAAGGTAGCATGAATGGAGGGAGGGGAGACACCATGGCAGACAGAGACAGAGACGCATACCCTGTATATGCCGGTCCACCCTGGTTCCAAGCCCCCACCACTAGCTCCAACGGGCTGCTCTTCCTGCAAGCAGTGGACAAAGCAGGCGGCTGCCAAATGACGTTATAAGGGAACATTGTGCAACTTTAAATGAGCATGTTCTCTAATTGATCAGCAACATAACAATGAAACAACATTAACCGGGATGACTAAGTGAGGAGTTACTGTAGTTAATTTTGTGTTGAGACACATCCAACCCACCCAAAACCTTAACAGCATGGAAGATGAGAAGTGAATGGAAAAGTCTCCTGCATCCCCACCACTATCTTAACCCTTTCAAACCTGTTCTTCGCTCTCTACGCAGCTTCCCACAGAATACTGAGTCAAGTTCAAAGTCTCAGTCCTTTTGTTTAATGTGCTCAGTGGCCTAGGCCTGGAGCATCTGAAAGATCTGTACTGATTAGTGTGGACAGCACCTCCAGCAATCAGTATCTTTCACTGAGTGCTATGTTTTTGTCTTGTTTTAATCTTATGTTGTTGCATCTAATTGAGGGGGTTAATATGAAGTTTTAGTCCCCTCTGTGGTACTGGAGTTTTATTTGGATTTCCATAAGTGAGTATTACAGATCACCTAATGCTTTGGCATGAGGACCGGGGTAGACAGCACTGCTCCCCTGGCCCAGTGGAAGTCTCCATTGCCAGGGTAAAGCTCACCTGTGCAAGAGACAAAGGTGCTCAGGAGTCAGTTCCTGGGTGAATTTACTCAGTGGGCTCAGACTCAAGCCCATCACAAACCTCAACACCTTCCACTCCAAGAGCAGGGCGCGCTGCTTGGCCTGCCTTCTCCAACACAAAAAAGAGCCAAGTTTATGTTGGAAAACAAATCTCCCAAAGCAAAACCCTGACAAACAAATCACTGCACAGCACACTCAGTTATCACTTCATGCACAACTGGAAGGTGCTCGGATTCGACAGGAATGAGGGTGTTATAAGAAGCTGCATGGAACGGGACTCTATAGAATATCATATGGCATACAGCGCTGTGGATAGCTCACTCCACAACTCCCTTTGGCCTTCGCTCTTATCTCCAACAGATTTTGAAAAACAATATGTGCCCCAGCTTCATCAAACTCCCAGTCTTTCAGTGGTGACCTAGTGTATCAACACATCTGAGGGATAAGCATCCCATTGATTTGCAAAATGAAACTGCCTTAACATTGCTTGAGTTGCCATTAATATTCTGCATTTGAATGTGCATTAGAAACTACAGAGAGACAAGGTGGGTGAGGCAATATCTGTTACTGGACCCACTTCTGTTGGTGAAAGAGACAAGCTTTTGAGCTTACACAGAGCTCTTCTTCAGGTCAGTTCACAAGCTCATCTCTTTCACCAACAGAAGTTGGTCCAATAAAAGATATTACCTCACCCACCTTTTTGTCTTTAATAACCTGGGACCAACATGGCTACAACTACACTGCAAACAACAAAGATGAGAGCTATCTCAATCCAGAGCAGGAGTGGGAGGGGCGGAGGAGGAATGGGATGATGCTTACCTGGAACTGCAGGAAGTTTCAGACCATAAACAAGGATGTCTCATTTCTTCAGGATTTGGTAGCTACATTCAAGTTTTTCCTTCTCATTTTTCTTCAAGGTGCTGGATTCTCTTAGCATGTTCCAACTGAGTATGTGATATCTTTATGTCCCATCAGGAAGATGCAGGTTTCTTTACTCTTTCCCCTCTATTTATGAACTGCAGATACCTGCTCATAATTGTAGCTGTTACAGGAGAAAGCTAGGTCTCCCCTGATCCCACTCCTTAATGGCATTTTTAATTACTGAGTCTGGGGAGTCACAGTTTTCATGGACAACATGGACAACAAACAACAATGGCTGAAGCAGTCAGCTTCTAAAACCCACTGGAAAGAATTCTTTTTATTCCTCCTGTATAGAATAATTACCCTGGCAGACTGAAATAAATTTTTTTTCATCCATTTTGAGCCAGATGCTCTATCGCTCAAGTCATATATGTAATCATTAATTTAAAGGAAAAAAGAAAACCAAAAGAATGGTCTTCAGACAACACACATACAAATGAACAGTTTTCATATGCTCTGTTATTTTAAACAAAACTCTTTTCACGCTCACACAATTATATGCAACAATCAATAGTGGACTTTGGATCATGTGAAAGCCACATCTACTGTGTTCAGTGGAGTGAAGTGGGAGGTGAGAGAGACTCGTTCTGTTTACTAAAGAGGTTTTCCTCTGCTCAGTCTCACAAACTGCTTTAGCTTAGAGAGCACAGACAGGGCTTCTCCAGCCAAGATGGCACTCAGGGTCACATACATTTAGAATAGTGGGTTATAGATCAAATAAGGGTCTATTGGTGAGAGGCAGTAGCTAAGTCAGTGAAAGAATTCTTCCATCAACCTACACAAAAACAGACTGGAAATAAAGTATAATTTTTCAATGGTGAGTTTATTAACCATTGGAATCAATTACCAAGGCTCATGGTGGATTCCCCATCACTGAAAATTCTTAAATCAAGATTGGGTGTACTTCTAAATGATCTGCTCTAGGAATTATTTTGGGGCTGGTTTCTGGCCTGTGTTTATGCAGGAGGTCAGACTACATGATCACAATGGTCCCTTCTATATAAATCCATGGTACACCCACATCTTGAATACTGCATGCAGATGTGGTCGCCCAATCTCAAAAAAGATATATTGGTATTGAAAAAGATTCAGAAAAGGACAACACAAATGATTGGGGTATGGAACAGCTTCCGTATGAGGAGAGATTAGTAAGACTGGGACTGTTCAGCGTAGAAAAGCGATGACTAAGGGGGGATATGATTGAGGTCTATAAAATCATGACTGGTGTGGAGAAAGTAAATAGGGAAGTGTTATTTACTCCTTCTCATAACACAAGAACTAGGGGTCACCAAATGAAATTAATAGGCAGCAGCTTTAAAACAAACAACAGAAAGTATTTCTTCACAGAACGCACAGTTAATCTGTGGGACTCTTTGCCAAAGGATGTTATGAAGGCTAAGACTATGACAGGATTCAAAAAGGAACTAGATAAATTCATGGAGGATAGGTCCATCAATGGCTAGTAGCCGGGATGGGCAGGGATGGTGTCCCTAGCCTCTGTTTTTCAGAAGCTGGGAGTGGGTGACAGGGAATGGATCACTTGATGATTACCTGTTGAGTTCATTCCCTCTGGGGCACCTGCCATTGTTCACTGTCAGAAGACAGGATACTGGGCTAGATGGACCTCTGGTCTGACCCAGTATGGTCGTTCTTATGTTATGTTCCTTCTGGCATTACAATCTACGAATGTAGAGTAAATCTACATTTACTCCTTTGACTTGACTTGTATCTTGACTGACACTGCAGAAAGAAGGGTCAAAACCTCTCTGTTACACAAGGCATCTGATTCCGATCTCAAGGGGTTGTTTGATGAAATGGAAAGTCTGAACATTTAAAAACAATAAAGCAAACAAATTTTATTTTAAACACAAAAAAAAATATCATGTGGAAGTGAGTTCCACAAGTTATTATTAACTATTTTTGAAAGCCGCCAGACCTATGAGTTTCAGACATCTCTTGATGGTTCATGGGAAGATTTGTGTTTATACTAGTTACAGTTTTAAAAAACAAATGGGACATAGGGTTTTCCATAGCAGGGAGATGCCTAACTCACCTAGACCTTGGGTGGGGTTTACAGAAGTGCCTCTCCTCTCCATTAGGCCCCTCATCCCCTTCGGAAATCTGGCCCATAAACTGTAGCGATCCTCAGACCCACCCCCTGGGATTTATCCCCATCCCCTGGTAACTCTCTGACCTGTCGGCCAGCCCCCAGGGACCCACCCCGGCCTAGGGGACCCCAGACCTGGGTCACCCCGTTTGTGGCTCCCTGGACAATACAGGTGCCAGGATCTCACCTGCCGGGGGCAGGGCCAGGAGGGCTTGGATCCCCAAACCAGGATGGTGACGATGATACAAACATAGGATGCCAGGGTTAATGCAAATGTGGGGATAATGAATAAAGCCACCAGGATGGTAATGACACACTCCAGCTGGTAGGTGTCATTGCACCAGAGATTTATTATTTGCGTAGATTCACAGAAAAAGTTATCAATTTCATTGTGGCCACAGAAGAAGGAGAAACTGAGGCAGGGAGAGGCGAGAAATGTCTTCATCAATCGGTGAAGGAGTCTATAGCCTATTTACACATCTCAAATTTTTGCACTTTGTCATTGGATCACCTTTTCTTTGTCACTTATTAGAAACAAGGTCTGCTGTACAGTGGAAGTGGACAGGACAGATTCAAAATTACCCAGGTTAATTCCCTTGCTTTTTAAGAACCTAAGAATGGCCACACTGGGTCGGACCAATGGTCCTTCTAGCCCAGTATCCTCTCTCTGACAATGGCCAGTGTCAGATGCTTCAGAGGGAATGAACAGAACAAGGCAATTATCGAGTGATCCATTCCCCGTCCTCCAGTCCCAGCTTCTGGCAGTCAG